TCACCACTGGTTCCCTGCGTACCAGAGCTTTGTAAACAGGCTGGAGATGAACCATGTTATGGTCTGACCCTCCCAAAGGAGGCAGTGGTGATGAGTTATATGCATCCTTGGTGTTGGCATACAGTAAGTCCAGAGTGCTTGTATTTCTGGTGTGGCAGGTGACATATTGAGTGAAGTTAGGGAGAGTGGAGGACAGAGAAACATGATTAAAGTCCCCATAGATCAGAAAGAGGGCCTGTGGGTTCTGTGTTTGGAATCTGCTAGTTGTTGTGTGGAGGACATCACAGACTGTAGCAGCGTTAGCAGAGGGGGCATGTACACAGTTGTCACAATTACATGTGAAACTCCTGTGGGAGATAGTATGGCCTCATGCTAACAGCTAACAGTTCAGACGGTTCGGACCGGAGCGGAGCTGGAATGCATGTAGTGTAAATCAGCTGGTCCTGAGTGTAAACAACAGGGGCTTGGGTGGTAGGAGAGTGAGTGTGGATGCTTACTCTATTTCCTTACACGAAAACCAAAACAAGAGAGAGTAATAACAGCATCTCCAAGAAAAAAGTCAGCTCCATTGTGAGCACAAACGTAATAATATGCATTTTATGTATATAGTTTACAAATGCCTATAATTCATATCTGCTTATTGGCCAAAGACTATCAGTGCTAAATAATCATGAAATAAAGAAAGAAATTGTCCATAACATATATAAATCCCATTGAATAGAATTGAATAAATCTTTATTTCAAAACAGGCATAAAACAAACAAAAAAAATTGTATATATATATATACACACTTACATTAATATATATTTTGGGCAACTTACAAGACGATCTGTATTGAAAAGGGGTAGGTTGAAGTAAAAACTTATATCAAAAGAATAAAATAGTCTTGATTTTTTTTATTCCATTTTTCCATTGCAGTGGAAAGGGACCACCCAGCCCATGAAGCTAAACAAACGTCCTTCCAACGGGCTGCTGAGACACATCCTACAGCAGGTGTACAACCACTCAGTGACGGACCCAGAGAAGCTGAACAACTATGAACCCTTCTCCCCAGAGGTCTACGGAGAGACATCCTTTGACCTGGTGGCTCAGATCATTGATGAGATGGAAATGATGGAAGATGACACTTTTGTTGACCTTGGGAGTGGTTAGTTTTCTGTTTTTAATATTTGTTATAATTTGGTAATTTTTCAGAGGAAGGAGTTCAGTGATTTAACAAAATAAAACCAGCAGTAAATAAAGACCACTTTATATCATTTTGATTATAAAACTGTGCAAGATGTACAAAGTTAAAGGAATTGGCCTGAATGTTGGTTTAAATGTCAGATTTACTAGACTGTCAGTTTGATGTTGGTTACAAACTGATTTTTTATTTTATTTTTTTTAATTTTAATTTTTTTCAGGAGTGGGGCAGGTGGTGCTGCAGGTTGCAGCAGCGACTGGCTGTAAACACTACTATGGTGTAGAGAAAGCAGACATTCCAGCTACATATGCAGAGGTAACTGCAATGGATGTTACACTTGTGTTAAAAAAAGGCGGGACACTTTATTAAAATTTTTTTTAAATTTTTTTTTTTACATTTGGACCTGTGGAAATTCAATATACAAGTATTCAAGCCATGTAACCAAACAATTCGGTCAGTGTATCTTTTGGTCATTGGTTTTTCATTTTAGAAACGGGTATTAAAAAACAAGAATTGAGTGGATATTTGATTTTTGTTTCAAAATACTGAAATTAAAATTCACACAAAGCATTTCTCATTCTTAGTGTCAAAAGGGGATGAGAATTTTTTTTTTAAATGATTTGAGTTTCGTTTTCTGTTTCAGAAAGCATAAAAGAAAATTACTTTAAGACAGAAACAAAAAAAGGCTTGTTTGTTCATAATCCATGACAAGTCGTGCCAATTTACTGTCTCCCCACAATAAACTGTTTCACCACCAGGAAGGGTGCCTGCAATATCAAAGTTATTCAATGAACATCCATTACATTACATCCATTACCCATTACAAGTAAAAAGCATTGATGTTGACTTCGGTAGCAAATATATTTGCCAAGTATTTATTTGGCATCAGATCAATATCAAAGTCATAGTACCGCCCACCCTTCGCTGAAAGGAACACTCCGAGGACACAAACTGACAGAAAAAAGTAGACTACAGATTTTGAATTTCAGGATGGGAAAACTCAGGACAAAATAAAAACTTTCTACTCAGAGAACAACAATCGTACAACACACTAATGGAATGAAATTTATCTTATTTAGCTTTTTATTGAGAGAAATGGAAGAAGCCGACATGTATTCAGTAAAAGAGACTTACGTGGCCCAAAGCCACATGAAGTATCTCTGCAAAGCCTTTGGTCACAGAGTGACAGTCATCATACAACTCATTTATGGACATACACGTCTGTGTTTCAGCCTTTTATTTACATAAATTAATGTTTAATTATGCAGAGCTGCCAGGAAAGCTCCCCTTCTGGTTGTAGAATACAAAAAAACAAGCCTTTTTTCCTTTATGTCTTAAAGTAATTTTCATTTTTGCTATCTGAAAC